TACTGTTAGGTATTATTATAGAAGTAAAGATACTACTGTTAGGTATTATTATAGAAGTAAAGATACTACTGCTAGATGTTATTATAGAAGTAAAGATACTACTGTTAGGTATTATTATAGAAGTAAAGATACTACTGTTAGGTATTATTATAGAAGTAAAGATACTACTGTTAGGTATTATTATAGAAGTAAAGATACTACTGCTAGATGTTATTATAGAAGTAAAGATACTACTGTTAGGTATTATTATAGAAAGTAAAGATACTACTGTTAGGTATTATTATAGAAGTAAAGATACTACTGCTAGATGTTATTATAGAAGTAAAGATACTACTGTTAGGTATTATTATAGAAGTAAAGATACTACTGTTAGGTATTATTATAGAAGTAAAGATACTACTGTTAGGTATTATTATAGAAGTAAAGATATTACTGTTAGGTATTATTATAGAAGTAAAGATACTACTGTTAGGTATTATTATAGAAGTAAAGATACTACTGCTAGATGTTATTATAGAAGTAAAGATACTACTGTTAGGTATTATTATAGAAGTAAAGATACTACTGTTAGGTATTATTATAGAAGTAAAGATACTACTGTTAGGTATTATTATAGAAGTAAGGATACTACTGCTAGATGTTATTATAGAAGTAAAGATACTACTGTTAGGTATTATTATAGAAGTAAAGATACTACTGTTAGGTATTATTATAGAAGTAAAGATACTACTGTTAGGTATTATTATAGAAGTAAAGATACTACTGTTAGGTATTATTAGAGAAGTAAAGATACTACTGTTAGGTATTATTATAGAAGTAAAGATACTACTGTTAGGTATTATTATAGAAGTAAAGATACTACTGTTAGGTATTATTATAGAAGTAAAGATACTACTGTTAGGTATTATTATAGAAGTAAAGATACTACTGTTGGGTATTATTATAGAAGTAAAGATACTACTGTTAGGTATTATTATAGAAGTAAAGATACTACTGTTAGGTATTATTATAGAAGTAAAGATACTACTGTTAGGTATTATTATAGAAGTAAAGATACTACTGCTAGATGTTATTATAGAAGTAAAGATACTACTGTTAGGTATTATTATAGAAGTAAAGATACTACTGTTAGGTATTATTATAGAAGTAAAGATACTACTGTTAGGTATTATTATAGAAGTAAAGATACTACTGTTAGGTATTATTATAGAAGTAAAGATACTACTGTTAGGTATTATTATAGAAGTAAAGATACTACTGTTAGGTATTATTATAGAAGTAAAGATACTACTGTTAGGTATTATTATAGAAGTAAAGATACTACTGTTAGGTATTATTATAGAAGTAAAGATACTACTGCTAGATGTTATTATAGAAGTAAAGATACTACTGTTAGGTATTATTATAGAAGTAAAGATACTACTGTTAGGTATTATTATAGAAGTAAAGATACTACTGTTAGGTATTATTATAGAAGTAAAGATACTACTGTTAGGTATTATTATAGAAGTAAAGATACTACTGTTAGGTATTATTATAGAAGTAAAGATACTACTGTTAGGTATTATTATAGAAGTAAAGATACTACTGTTAGGTATTATTATAGAAGTAAAGATACTACTGTTAGGTATTATTATAGAAGTAAAGATACTACTGCTAGATGTTATTATAGAAGTAAAGATACTACTGTTAGGTATTATTATAGAAGTAAAGATACTACTGTTAGGTATTATTATAGAAGTAAAGATACTACTGTTAGGTATTATTATAGAAGTAAAGATACTACTGTTAGGTATTATTATAGAAGTAAAGATACTACTGTTAGGTATTATTATAGAAGTAAAGATACTACTGCTAGATGTTATTATAGAAGTAAAGATACTACTGTTAGGTATTATTATAGAAGTAAAGATACTACTGTTAGGTATTATTATAGAAGTAAAGATACTACTGTTAGGTATTATTATAGAAGTAAAGATACTACTGCTAGATGTTATTATAGAAGTAAAGATACTACTGTTAGGTATTATTATAGAAGTAAAGATACTACTGTTAGGTATTATTATAGAAGTAAAGATACTACTGTTAGGTATTATTATAGAAGTAAAGATACTACTGTTAGGTATTATTATAGAAGTAAAGATACTACTGTTAGGTATTATTATAGAAGTAAAGATACTACTGTTAGGTATTATTATAGAAGTAAAGATACTACTGCATCAATAAAGGATCGCATTATACTGCACTTGTGTTCATTTTTCCATCGTGTTGGTATGTGTGGCCTGGATGCTAAAGTTCTCGCTTCACACGGCGAGGGTCTGGGTTTGATTCCCAACGAGGGTAGAAACATTGGGCTTGTTTCTTTACACCGGATGTCTATGTTCACTCATCAGTAAAATGGGTACCTGGGTGTTAGTGGACTGGTGTGGGTCGCATCCTGGGACAAAATTTGGTCTGTATACCTTGTACATGTACTTGTAGTAAATAAAGATATTAGTATTATTATTAACCTCCATTTACATAACAGCTTGATGCGGGTAAAGGGTTCTTGATCCAAGGAGATAGAACGACCCCCTCCACGTCAGAACCAATGTAATCATCACCAATACCCCGGTTGCATGACCCATATATGTTTAGCGCTTTTTTTTAAATGCAATAATAATCACATTACCCAAAAGCTATATGGCGCCTACAGGTTTAGCGCTTCTCCATGAATGTAATAAGGTAAATTCTTAGATAGGCTGATTAAATTATTATAAATACAACTTAGTTTTGGGCACATTTATTAATTCATTTATGGAATATATTGTTTTGTGTCAGTGTCCGGGAGGTGTAAGTCTTCTTGCAGTCATCTTGTAAGATGTAAGTCTTTTTGCAGTCATCTTGTAAGGTGTAAGTCTTTTTGCAGTCATCTTGTAAGGTGTAAGTCTTCTTGCAGTCATCTTGTAAGGTGTAAGTCTTCTTGCAGTCATCTTGTAAGGTGCAAGTCTTCTTGCAGTCATCTTGTAAGGTGTAAGTCTTCTTTCAGTCATCTTGTAAGGTGTAAGTCTTCTTGCAGTCATCTTGTAAGGTGTAAGTCTTCTTGCAGTCATCTTGTAAGGTGTAAGTCTTTTTGCAGTCATCTTGTAAGGTGTAAGTCTTCTTGCAGTCATCTTGTAAGGTGTAAGTCTTCTTGCAGTCATCTTGTAAGGTGCAAGTCTTCTTGCAGTCATCTTGTAAGGTGTAAGTCTTCTTTCAGTCATCTTGTAAGGTGTAAGTCTTCTTGCAGTCATCTTGTAAGGTGTAAGTCTTCTTTCAGTCATCTTGTAAGGTGTAAGTCTTCTTGCAGTCATCTTGTAAGGTGTAAGTCTTCTTGCAGTCATCTTGTGAGGTGTAAGTCTTCTTGCAGTCATCTTGTAAGGTGTAAGTCTTCTTTCAGTCATCTTGTAAGGTGTAAGTCTTCTTGCAGTCATCTTGTAAGGTGTAAGTCTTCTTGCAGTCATCTTGTGAGGTGTAAGTCTTCTTGCAGTCATCTTGTAAGGTGTAAGTCTTCTTGCAGTCATCTTGTAAGGTGCAAGTCTTCTTGCAGTCATCTTGTAAGGTGTAAGTCTTCTTTCAGTCATCTTGTAAGGTGTAAGTCTTCTTGCAGTCATCTTGTAAGGTGTAAGTCTTCTTGCAGTCATCTTGTGAGGTGTAAGTCTTCTTGCAGTCATCTTGTAAGGTGTAAGTCTTCTTTCAGTCATCTTGTAAGGTGTAAGTCTTCTTGCAGTCATCTTGTAAGGTGTAAGTCTTTTTGCAGTCATCTTGTAAGGTGTAAGTCTTCTTGCAGTCATCTTGTAAGGTGTAAGTCTTCTTGCAGTCATCTTGTAAGGTGTAAGTCTTCTTGCAGTCATCTTGTAAGGTGTAAGTCTTCTTGCAGTCATCTTGTAAGGTGTAAGTCTTCTTGCAATCATCTTGTAAGGTGTAAGTCTTTTTGCAGTCATCTTTTAAGGTGTAAGTCTTCTTGCAATCATCTTGTAAGGTGTAAGTCTTTTTGCAGTCATCTTGTAGGGTGTAAGTCTTCTTGCAGTCATCATGTAAAGTGTAAGTCTTCTTGCAGTCATCACTTAAGGTGTAAGTCTTCTTGCAGTCATCTTGTAAGGTGTAAGTCTTCTTGCAGTCATCATGTAAGGTGCAAGTCTTCTTGCAGTCATCTTGAAAGGTGTAAGTCTTCTTGTAGTCATCTTGTAAGGTGTAAGTCTTCTTGCAGTCATCATGCAAGGTGTAAGTCTTCTTGCAGTCATCACGTAAGGTGTAAGTCTTCTTGCAGTCATCTTGTAAGGTGTAAATCTTCTTGCAATCATCTTGTAAGGTGTAAGTCTTTTTGCAGTCATCTTGTAAGGTGTAAGTCTTTTTGCAGTCATCTTGTAGGGTGTAAGTCTTCTTGCAGTCATCATGTAAAGTGTAAGTCTTCTTGCAGTCATCACGTAAGGTGTAAGTCTTCTTGTAGTCATCTTGTAAGGTGTAAGTCTTCTTGCAGTCATTATGTAAGGTGTAAGTCTTCTTGCAGTCATCTTGTAAGGTGTAAGTCTTCTTGCAGTCAACTTGTAAGGTGTAAGTCTTCTTGCCTACATCATGTAAGGTGCAAGTCTTGCAGTCATCATGTAAGGTGTAAGTCTTCTTGCAGTCATCTTGTAAGGTGTAAGTCTTCTTGCAGTCAACTTGTAAGGTGTAAGTCTTCTTGCCTACATCATGTAAGGTGCAAGTCTTGCAGTCATCATGTAAGGTGTAAGTCTTCTTGCAGTCATCTTGTAAAGTGTAAGTCTTCTTGCAGTCATCTTGTAGGTTTTAATAGTCATTTTGATTTTTCTACTTTGCTGAAATTTTTTTTTTTTCAAATATATTTATATATTTGTTCATTACTTCCGAAAAATAATTGATACGAAGTTTAAACAGTGTAAGATCAGGTAGTGTGTGTTTAGTGATGCGTCTGATGGTGAGAAACAAAGTAATTCTGTGCAGTACTGGTGCACAATACTCACAAATGTTGTAAGGATGCTCATGATTGCTGGAGCTCAGCTTGCTTGCCCCTACACCAGCAGCAACAGTGATCTACGTGCACTGACACTCACCCTCTTCTTTCGGACATTTATACTGACATATCCCCAGTTCATCGTTTGGTTACCAGCTACCTCAATACTAACACCTTTCTGTGTCAGCTCACACAACATCAGAGCAGAATTGTGTTCTTAGGAAGGCCGAAAATCCCTTTGACGACTTCAGGTGCCAAGACTTGACCAGTCACATTTTTTTTATGATCCAACACTCCTGATGGCCTCGCACCCAGATTGCCATGGCGCCATCACCAGTACTATCACGGCGGAGATCTGCGGATTTAAATCGTCAGCTAATAAATGTTTTTCTTGTGACTTAAGGACTGCTCGGGCGTCGCCATCTTTGTTTCCAACTGGAAGTAAACATTCTCGAGGGAACCTGAAGCATAGAACTGTATATCATGTTAACCATTAATATTATGTAGGCACTGGAGTAGTACATATGGCATTATATCCTGTGTTGGCCAATAATATTACGCAAGCACTGGGATCATACCAGTAGCAGAGGATAAGCACAGGACTGCTGGTAATGACCGTGAACCATTGGAGGTCTTGGGTACGCAGTTTGGGAGTGGGGGAGGGAAGAAAGCAAGTCACTCATCTACGCAACAACTAAATCTTTCTTTCTACGCAACACATTTAATTTGTTAAAAAAATGAATAATTACAAATTTGTATGTGGTTGGGAATTGTTTTTCTCTCTCCAAGGTCTAGGAATGCACAAGAAAAAACAGCGAATGCAAAAGGAGACAAGGTAAGGATGTATTAAAAAAAATAAGTAGGGGGATAATGAAAGTTATATGGACGTCCATACGACGGAGAAGGATAGGCTTGTCTCTTGGTATCACCTGACACAGCTAGAGTTCACTTGATCTAAGCGTTGCTCTTGTAAACAGTCAGTGTTGCAAGTCATTGAAGGTTTGATGATTAACACGATTCTTTTGTTTGTATACCTGTGTGAATTACGTGTGCTTAATTTACATAATACCTTTTGTTACTCCTCTTACGGCTGCCTTCTTGTTTGAGGTAAACAAACACTACAAGACACGAGGTGATGAATAAGAGACATGTGCAACACGTGGGTATCTTTATTCTGAATACGTTTCACAAACCAGTGTCTCTATTGATTGAATACGGAGGTGTTTGAAGGTGTTAAATCTGAAGACAGAATTAAGATCGCTGGTGTTGTACATCTCTTATTCATCGACTCGTCGGTACTGTATGCAATTTATCATTGTACCGACCCGAGGAAGTGTCTAATTCTTCAACTTATCGGTTCTCAAAACCATTTATATCATACCATTACAGCTGACAAGCCACGAGGTGTTGCTGGGGTATAGTAGCGGTTGATGGAAGGCGATGGAGAGTGACGGGAAGTAGCACACGGTGAAGGGATAGAGATAGAAGAATAGAAGAATTAACAATCTCCTAGGATCACTGTGGCTAACAATCGCAATTTTAAAAGCTGGCGCAGAACTAAATCGAGTCGACTTCCTTTAACCAGAATTAAGTGAGTCGACTCCATGCAACCAGAACTGAGTCAACTCCATGCAACCAGAACTAAGCGAGTCGAGCCCATGCAACCAGAACTGAGTGAGTCGAGCCCATGCAACCAGAACTAAGTGAGTCGACCCCATGCAACCAGAACTAAGCGAGTCGAGCCCATGCAACCAGAACTGAGTGAGTCGAGCCCATGCAACCAGAACTAAGCGAGTCGAGCCCATGCAACCAGAACTAAGTGAGTCGACCCCATGCAACCAGAACTAAGTGAATACACACATTCTAAAACATTCCTCACATCTTCACTAACACACATCTACATACGCCATGTACTTATTACATCCTCTTTTTTGTCGTCATCTTCCTCGGAAGTGAAGATATATTTATGATAATCTAATGATCATATTTTGTCAAAATATTACTTGTATTCTCTATTACTCTAGCAAATTTATGGTCATTGGTTTTTGGCCAAAGTTCAATTCTTTATGTCCAGTCCAGCTTCTAAAGTTGTGTGTGTTGTTAATATGACACAATATGCGGTTTATGGCATCTTATTGAAAGAACGTTTCGCCCACCAAGAATTTTATCAGATCCTTGTGAACGAAACGTTTCCTCAGTGAAATGCAATAAACCTTTCTTGTGTTATTGACAAATTTGTCGGTATATAAATAGTTTGCAGCTAATTTCTCCATTTATGTTATTTAGATTAGGTTTGGTGAGATTTGGGTAAGGATAGGTTAGATAAGATTAGTTAAGTAAGATCAGGTTAGGTTAGGTAAGAGTAGGTTAGGTTTGGTGAGATTTAGGTTAGGTTAGGTTAGGCAAGATTAGGTTAGGTTAAGTTTGATGAGGTTTAGTTTTAATATAAATTTTGAAAATTGATATCGACAGATTATTTGCTCACTTATAGGTTTAGTTTCGTTTCGTTAGACTGTCGTCTGTCATTAAAAAATACCAATTATAAGATACCACAACAGCAAAAATATGAAATGCAAGATAAAGGGAAACAGGAAACAGGCACCAACCGAACGTATTAGAAATGTCTGTGTCAGATAATCACTGTTTGAGGCTAACAGTCACCCGTCTGACTGTCTTAGCAACACTGAAAGAGGAACTCTGTTTAATAATTTTAACTTAGTTTCTGAAGCTAGTATGCTAAAAGGAAAGAATTGTATATGTGGGAAGGGATTAAAATTTTTTTTGTGGCTAGCGTTTACAGTATCATTATTATTATTATTATTATTATTATTATTATTATTATTATTATTATTATTATTATTATTATTATTATATTTTATTTATTTATTATTATTATTATTATTATTATTATTATTATTATTATTATTATATTTTATTTATTATTATCATTATTATTATTATTATTATTATTATTATTTTTATATAAATTTACGACACCGGTAAGTTGATAAATGAAAAACTTGGTTATCTTTATTGTGGAAACGTTTCGCCAATTATCGGCTTCATCAGTCCACTATACGGAAGAACGGTGGAAGGTGAGAAAGAGTTTGAGGTAATCAGTCCATCAGCCTTGAGACGATGTATTCAGTCCATCAATCTTTATTAAAATAATTATTACTCTTATTGTGGGGAAGCGCTACACCCACATGGGTCATACAGCTCCTGGATAATGGGAGTCAATCAGGACCGATGAGAGTAAGTGGAAGGTACTCCCAGATCCACGGATCAAGAGCCCCTCACCAGCATCACGGCAACAAACCCCTTGAAGGAGGGTCAAGTTAATGCTGTGTTTACCATATAACACGAATTTCGTCTTGCCCAATCTATTTTCTCTGTTGTATTTATACTAGAGTTACAAGATGAGGAGCTGGTTGATACTAGAGTTACAAGATGTGGAGCTGGTTGATACTAGAGTTACAAGATGAGGAGCTGGTTGATACTAGAGTTACAAGATGTGGAGCTGGTTGATACTAGAGTTACAAGATGTGGAGCTGGTTGATACTAGAGTTACAGGATGTGGAGCTGGTTGATACTAGAGTTACAAGATGTGGAGCTGGTTGATACTAGAGTTACAGGATGTGGAGCTGGTTGATACTAGAGTTACAAGATGTGGAGCTGGTTGATACTAGAGTTACAAGATGTGGAGCTGGTTGATACTAGAGTTACAAGATGTGGAGCTGGTTGATACTAGAGTTACAAGATGTGGAGCTGGTTGATACTAGAGTTACAAGATGTGGAGCTGGTTGATACTAGAGTTACAAGATGTGGAGCTGGTTGATACTAGAGTTACAAGATGTGGAGCTGGTTGATACTAGAGTTACAAGATGTGGAGCTATTTGATACTAGAGTTACAAGATGTGGAGCTGGTTGATACTAGAGTTACAAGACGTGGAGCTGGTTGATACTAGAGTTACAAGATGTGGAGCTGGTTGATACTAGATTTTACAAGATGTGGAGCTGGTTGATACTAGAGTTACAAGATGTGGAGCTGGTTGATACTAGAGTTACAAGACGTGGAGCTGGTTGATACTAGAGTTACAAGATGTGGAGCTGGTTGATACTAGAGTTACAAGATGTGGAGCTGGTTGATACTAGAGTTACAAGATGTGGAGCTGGTTGATACTAGAGTTACAAGATGTGGAGCTGGTTGATACTAGAGTTACAAGATGTGGAGCTGGTTGATACTAGAGTTACAAGACGTGGAGCTGGTTGATACTAGAGTTACATGATGTGGAGCTGGTTGATACTAGAGTTACAAGACGAGGTGCTGGTTGATACTAGAGTTACAAGACGAGGTGCTGGTTGATTCTAGAGTTACAAGACGAGGTGCTGGTTGACACCAGAGTTACAAGATGTGGAGCTGGTTGATACTAGAGTTACAAGATGTGGAGCTGGTTGATACTAGAGTTACACGATGTGGAGCTGGTTGATACTAGAGTTACAAGACGAGGTTCTGGTTGATACTAGAGTTACAAGACGAGGTGCTGGTTGATACTAGAGTTACAAGACGAGGAGCTGGTTGATACTAGAGTTACAAGATGTGAAGCTGGTTGATACTAGAGTTACAAGATGTGGAGCTGGTTGATACTAGAGTTACAAGATGTGGAGCTGGTTGTACTAGAGTTCCCAAGATGTGAAGCTGGTTGATACTAGAGTTACAAGATGTGGAGCTGGTTGATACTAGAGTTACAAGACGAGGAGCTAGTTGATACTAGAGTTACAAGATGTGGAGCTGGTTGATACAAGAGTTAGAAGATGTGGAGCTGGTTGATACTAGAGTTACAAGACGAGGTGCTTGTTGATACTAGAGTTACAAGACGAGGTGCTGGTTGATACTAGAGTTACAAGATGTGGAGCTGTTTGATACTAGAGTTACAAGATGTGGAGCTGTTTGGTAGTCGAGTTACAAGATGTGGAGCTGGTTGATACTAGAGTTACAAGACGAGGAGCTGGCTGATACTAGAGTTACAAGATGTGAAGCTGGTTGATAGTAGAGTTACAAGATGTGGAGCTGGTTGATACTAGAGTTACAAGATGTGGAGCTGGTTGATAGTAGAAT